ATTTAAGTCCTCCATCAGAGTCAGCTCCTGGTGAGGGAATGCAAATCTCTCCTGGCTCCACCCAAGCATAGGTTGAAAAGCCAAAGCTGGGCTTGGCCACTCACTGGTGTACCACCATGGCCCTGTTTGCCTCCTCATTCCTGCTGCTGATTGTACCTGCATGTGAGTGCCATGGATTCCTACTGCATGGACCCCCATAATTCACTCTGTGTCAACCTTACCTTCTACTTTTTCCTCCACAGATGTCCTGTCACAGGTTACCCTGAAGGAGTCTGGGCCTGGGCTGCTGCAGCCTTCCCAGACTCTCAGTCTGACCTTCTCTTTCTCTGGGTTTTCACTGAGCACTTCTAGTATGGGTGTGAGCTGGATCCGCCACCCCTCAGGGAAGGGTCTGGAGTGGCTGTCACACATTTGGTAAGATGATGACAAGAGGTACAACCCATTCCTGAAGAGCCTACAACCAGGTATTCTTCAAGATTGCCAGTGTGGACACTGCAGATACTGCCACATACTACTGTGCTAGGAGAACACAGAGACACAGCCTGGGCTGACAGCTGTACAGTATCTCAGGCTGATTCTCAGCTCTATGTCTTCCTTCTACAATCATGGGGTTCAGAGTGGGCAAACATTTCCTGCTAGCCTCTGGGGTTTCCTGTTCACTCTGAGTTTCAGATCCCTGGCTTCCTGTTATACAAACCAGGCCCCTTTTAAAAAATGTTTGGAAATGAGAATGTGTGTATTTGCATTTTGTGAAGATTAAAGGTGTGTGGTTCCTAATTCAGGTGGATCAGGGCTGTGGTTCCACTCAGTTTTTGGACTCAATTCCACAGAAGAGCAGATTCCAAATCATTGTAACATTCACCTTCAGTAAACACCTGGATATGGGGAAGATTGACATTTCTAGATAAACTTTTATAAATTGAGTCCATTGACCAAAGTGACTCCATGGAAACTACAAGATATCTCAGACTATGATCTCAGGCATTTGGTTGCTCTCCACAAACTGATGGTGACCTCCTATTGCTGAAGACAACACTTAAATATCTCACTGAACATGGAGGATTTGAGTTGGTGCCTAGTGCAGGCCTCAGCCCTACTGACTAAAGTTCATAGCCGGAGAACGTATGTGGCCTGCTCTCAGAGCACCATCTCCCTAACAGCACACTGTGGCCTACAATGGTGACCTGCTGATGAGATTGTATTTAAAGCCCATTCTATCAATGTAGCCCATGTCTGAAACTACTATTAAGTTTTAGAATCTGAGGCAAGGCAGGCTATAGGCTTATGGGAAAAACAAATGATTTGCTAAAGCAGTGGTTTTCAACCTGTGTGGTGGAAACACTTTGGGGATTGAACAACTATTTCACAGGGTCCTAGGACTCATTCCAGGGGTCACATATCAGATGTCCTAGATGTCCATGAGACAAAGCTCATTATCCATCCCTGAAATCTCTACTCAGCATCACCAGGCACATTACCAAGAAGATAAATAAATCTGTGTATAAGAACTCATACAAGCCAGTTCTCAGTACCAGCAGGGGGCGCTGTGGATCCATCAATCTCTAAGAAGTAAAGGGCAACAAAAGCAGGTAATGATGTTATGCATTGAGGAGATTTCAACAGACTGTGGATTTCATTGCCAGTTTCAGTACATTCAGAGACCATGGTGTAGCTGACATCTGAGATCTCCATGCCGCAACACTGGACAGGTTATTTGTTAAATAAAATTCATAGTGAGGTCACAAAGATCCAGAATGGATTCAGAACATTGCTGGATAAGATAATAGTTCACCATAGAATCATCAGTAAAGGTTAAGGGTATTTGAACTCCAAGACACTGGGCAACGTTTTGGGAAAAGTGTCCCAGAAGTCCCAGCTGACACCAGAGGTGAGCACATTTTCTGGTCACAGGTATGGAATGGACAGCAGCCTCCACATCTCTGTGCCAGTGTCTGATGTGGGCCAGGGTGGTCAATGCAACTTCTGAGCATCATAAATATGGTTGACCATAATTAGGTTCAGGTGACCCTTGAAACCTTGAAACTTTAATGAACTCGGATGTGGTGACTGGATTCTCACTGGGATGGAAGAGCTCTGTCCACACAGGTGCTGGGATGAAGGAGGGAGAAAGGGAAAAAAATCTAGAAATCAATATGTGATGTATTCCACGGAAAACTCCTGCTCACTTTCACATTTATTGTACCATGTCTGCACATATTCTAATCCTAACATGACTTTAATCCAAAGGAATAAGATAATAGTGTCTATTAATATTCACACAGGTCCCAGAATTTTGTAAACTGTAAGAAGACCTGCCTCAATATTAATTAAGTAGATATGCACTCTTGTCCACTGCAACCTATGATAGCCATCAGCATCCCACGTACTGGAGTATGAAATGCAGGTTTATAAACAGAGATAGTGGAATACCAGGATAAACCCATCCAGCACCCTGAGTTGTAGGGATGAGTGTTCCTTCATAATGAATAGACCTGATCTGACAGATCTCAAGACCTCATCACATTGATCCTGAGCAGTGACAGATGAGGAGACGTGCACCACAGGGTTCCCAGCTCCTTATATCCAGCAACATTAGGTGCATCTGATTCATGACCTGATATTAGAGAGAAATGTGTATTAATAGCCTGAATTTATATAGTATGTACGTTTGTTTTACTATTTTAGCTACTCTTCAGACATTTAAAGACACATGCACACATAGTCCTCAGTAGTGCTATTGGATTGTCCCATTTGGGGAGCATATTCAAAATCCATCCTTCTTCCATGAAAATGTTCAGTTTCTGAGAAGCTCAACTAACACATGCCCTGTCCAAGAATAAGGGGCATTGATGATAGTACAGAGACAACTTAAAATCAGTCACTGAAACCTCTGGTCAGCATCTCCAGACAAACACTAGGCCTTTCTCCCTGCAGTTAAGCTCCTTCAGCACTGAAGCTGCAGGGATACATTACTGCTCAAGGGAGACAGTGTAGCCACGACATACCATCGTGCAGGGAGCTCAGACCACCAGGGGGCGCAACGGAGCCAAAATCCCCAGCAGAGAGATGAGGTTGGTGCAGAGGGGACTCTGGATTTCCTTTCTTGAGTCTACCAGCTGACCTGCACCTGCTGTTGTTGACATGTGATGTTTCCATCCTCAAACATAGTAAGGATACTTTGTTAAACTATTTATGGGTTTATATTTTCTTGTTTATATTATTCAGTTTTCACTTACATTGACCTTTTCAAAAAAGATTTTGTACAATGAATTCTGATCACTGATTCCTCTTTACCTACTCTTCCTAGATATTTCATGTATCTTCTCCTACCCAAATCTACACCTGTCTTTGCCTCTCCAGGGAAAAAAATAGAGAATATTTTAAGGAAGGAATCAACACCAAACCAAAATAAAACTATAAATATTCTTACACACAAGCACACACAAAGTCTAAAAACACAACTCTATATCCATGATACATAGGCAAAAACATGAAACAAAAATGCACAATGTGATAGCAGAGAAAACAATTTTAAAAATGCCATTGAGTTCATTCAGTTTTGCCAGAGCTTCTCAGGCAGCTGAGCAGGTAAATGTGTCTCCTGGGAAACTAGGCAACATCAGTTTCATAGTTTGGAACCACTTGATAGGATGCAAGAACTGAATTCTGAAAGTTGTCCTCTGAGGATCACACACACACACACACCCTGGTGCATATCTCTCCTGTTCACACCATTTTTAAAACTATTACATGAATGGAGAGAAACTCCTGAGGACCCATAACAAGCAGAGAATCTATTGGCATTGACGGCTGATGAGGAAAATATAATCAGTTTTCTTTGGAAGTTGTCTGCATGTTTCTTGTGAACTAATGAAAGACTCCATCTATGTGTCATAGATAAAACTGATTGAACTCACTCTGTTATTAATAAATGAAACAAAAGAGGTCTTGAAGAGGGATGGGGACTGATTGAAAAGTCCAAAGTGGAACCACTGTGGATAATGGGCACAGATATGATCATACCATATTTTATACATGGGTTAAAATTTCAAAGAATGTAACACATGAAATATGAAAATAACATTTTACATAGTTTTAGATTTTTCATACTCATGTATTTCATACACTGTGTTATTTCCCCCCATGATCTCTACCTTTCATTTTCTGTCCCCTCCTACTTTACCTTTGTTCTACTAGACGATTGCACTTATACATCATCATGTATTTCCATTCATAATTGTCTGTAAGCATGCAATATCTAAAAACTACAAATGAGAGTTTAATTTGATGTCTGATTTCTGAGAAGATCTTAATTAATATAATTATCTTTAGTTACATGCAAATTTCTATACTAATATAAATTCTATATTTCTTGTAGATGAAAAACTTCTGTTGTATTGTGTATAGAAACATGTCTTGTTGATGAAATTCTCTGCTGACATATACATAGTTTATTTCCATAATTTAGTTATTGTGATGTTGCTGTAATAATCTTTGTTGAAGTATATTTGCTTTGGTTCATTTGGGAGAGTTTCTTAGTAAATAATCCTTTGGAGGGGAAACATTAATTGAATATACCTGAAAGGAGGCTGTAAACTTCAAACTCAGCACATTTTAAATTTCCCATCACTGTCTTCATCATCAAAGTCACCATCTGTAAATCAATCTGACAACCTTGTCACATATTTGAGCAACTGTCTCAGGACTGAAAAGTATTGAGAACTTAGATCCTGACGTTACTTCCTTAGCATCTGCGGAGAGCCCAGGGAAGAAGGATGCTGTACATATGCTCTGAGAGGATTGGGGCTGGGACCTCAGGATCCTGGTGCCTGAGACAGGTTTCCTCTGTCTTCTTCTCCAGCTGGACTAGGTCCTTATCTAAGAAGCACCCTGCTCATGAATATGTAAATCATGTGAGTCTATGTGGTAAATACAGTGATGTCCACACCACCAACTACACATGATCAGTGTCCTCTCCACAGTCACTGAGCACACAGGTCCTCACCATGGGATGGAGCTGGATCATTGTCTTCTTTGTGTCAGTGACTACAGGTAAGGGTCTTTCCAGTTCCAAACCTGAAGAAGGAACAGGCACTGAGGAGACAAAGATGTACACTCTTCCTTTCTCTCCACAGGTGTCCACTCCCAGGTCCAGCTGCAGCAGTCTGGTCCTCAGCTGGTGAAGCCTGGAGCCTCAGTGAAGTTGTCCTGCAAGGCTTCTGGCTACACCTTTACTAGCAACTATATGAGCTGGGTGAAGCAGAGGCCTGGACAGGGCTTGGAGTGGATGGGTCGTCTCAACCCTTACAATGGAGACACGATCTATGCACAGAAGTTCCAAGGACGGATCTCCATTACCAGAGACACATCCTCAAGCACAGCCTACATGGAGCTCAGCAGCCTGACATCTGATGAGTCTGGGTTCTTTTACTGTGCAAGACACACACACTGTTGCAACCACATCCTGAGTGTGTCAGAAACCCTGGAGGGGCAGGAAGCTGCCCTGGGACTGAAGTGACAGAGAAGTTTAGCCTGGAGTCTTTCTCAGAAATAATCACTTGAGTGGCAATTTTTCTGCCCCCCTCCTCACAGTCCTAAGTGTCTTTGTCAACTTTTCCAAATTATAGCTGTAAATAAAATGATGCTGAATGAGGTTCAGTAACCACATCCTTTTACATGTATCTTCTGTAATGAAACACTAAAGGGAAAACTCTGAAAATGCATAGTGAGAAAACTATCGCTGGATTCTAAGAGACTGGAACATCCGATGGAGTAGCTTTGAATAAAATGTAATATGAATTTTAGCAGTAAAGTTCAATTAAACCACATCTGACCAAACCAAAACTGCTCTCATAGTCTTAAATAACCTGAATGCGTGTTTTTATCTCAGGCTGAATAGTTCAGCAGACCCTGCAGTCTCTTCCAGTATAGGAGATATTTATGTCACTATGCACATAAGTGTAATTAGTCTAAGTGGAACAAGTTTATTATTAAATTACCTTTCATTAAACTCATTCATTGACACAGTGTATGCACATGGTAATTAAAAATTGGTTTGAGATTATTCATAATAACCTGGTCTCAAATTTACTGCCTTTTCAGTCCCAGTACCCTGACCCACAGTCTCACCATTTATGGAAGCATGAGTTACCTGTGCCAATTCCATGTTAGAGATCATTCAAACCTATGTTGTATTTAAAATACTGTTTGAAATACTGGTGACTTCATAAAGCACCTCCTGTATTCCAAATGTTTACATTAGCAATCAAACTATTTATTTAATTAGTTTTCTTCAGTCGTGTGGATCTAAACCAGGGCTCAGTGTATGCTAGACTACCAAGCTCTATTCCCAAATCAATTTATTAATTTGGAGATATGAATTCAACTTTCACTAAGGTTTCCCTTTGTCCTTCTGCACATGTAAATATTTCCCCTTTTTGTGAAGCAGGGAAGACAAGAAGAAAAGTGTTATGGTTAAGATATATACAAACTCATACAAATTTAACTTAATTGTTGCCAACAGTTGTTACGATAAATCTTTCCGCCATAAGCCGCTGAGCCCCACCATCCGTGTGTGCTTTATGCCAGCCGCCCCCCTGAGTTAGGGCCCAAATTAACACACAGAGTGACTTGTATTAGGTTCAAATGCTGCTTGGCCAGTGACTAGGATTCCTCATCTGTTAGCTCAGTCTTAATTATCATAAATCTATATATTTTATAAGACTTATAGAGGATGCCTTTTGCTGGCGCCCTCTCTTGCTGATGGCTCACATGGGGCCGCTGGAGGAGGAAGGGGATAAAAGGAAACCCTTCCTGTTTCCTTTGCTTAAATATGAGTCTCCTTGCTATGTCACTTCCCGCCTGGATCACCACTTCTCTACTTCATTTCCCAGAATCCTCTTTGACTCCTAGTCCCGTCTAACTTGCTGTCTCATTGGTCAAACAGTATTTTATTTAACAATCAATAAGATAAAAATACACAGAAGTACTTCCCCCATCAAACAGTTCCTTTATTTCTTTTTTTTGCATTTTTTATTAAATTATTAATATTTTCACATGTACTTTCCCTCTCCCTCTCCCTCCCCCGACCCCCATTCCTTCTACCCCACCTCCAACCTACCCCCCACCCCATCCACCCACCACTCCCCAGGCACGGTAGGGCCCCCAACCGGGGCTCCACCAAGTCCACTAAATCTTCCTGTGCTGGGCCTAGGCCACTCCCCATGTGTCCAAAGACAGAGCGCATCCCTTCAAGTGGGATGGGCTCTCACAGTTCCTCACACACACCAGGGCAAAACACCAGTC